TGTACAGAATAGCTCTTACAACCTGTGTCTGTATTAGGATCATTGGGTTAGGGTGATTGTTGGGGGCAGATGTGATCCTGCCTTGGAACACGAAATATTAACTACTGGAACAGCAGAAGAGGACAGAGGAGTCCATGGTGGATGCATGCAGGATGAGGTAACTTCTGCGCAGGTGGAATATAGCAGTCAGTATTTCATAAGCTAACTTTGTTTGTCTGTCTGCTGGGAGTTTTATTATGTCCTGACCCAAAATACATACCTGACTTCAAAACTAAATCTGCAAATGTCTGCTAACTTCAGCTCTTGCTTGGTCTTGGGTGCCCAGTTCAGTTGTGGTGGATGCTTCATGTCTTGAGGCATCAGAACTGCTCCCAGCAGCAGCATTCATCATCAGTCAGTGATGTGGGACATTGGTGCTTGTCTCAGGCTTCTCAATGTGTAATCTGAAGTGTTCTCCTTTTTCACAAATATATTAAGTTTACTTAAAGTATACAAGTGCTTTTCTGTGGTTTTATGAATTCAAAAGTCTCTCTAAGCAAGTATTCAAAACACCTGGTTGAATTCTCCTACAATTTTTTTCCCCTCACTTTGAGATTTAGAAGTTTGTCGTTCTCCACTTCCTTCCCATCCTCCAAGAAAGACTTCATAGACAGACTCCAACATGAGACAGCCAAAAGATGTCACCACAGTGTTGGAGACAAGGAAACTGAGCATGAAGCAAGATGGTGGCACAGCTGGGATAGAAATTGTACCTCCAGCATTCCCATTTGGGTCAGGTGTGGAAGGTCCAACAGGGAGCCTTTGGAGTGAAACCATCCCATGGGATGTGCTGCTCAGCCTGTTGCTGATTCCCTGCAGGAGACATGGGATGAAAGTTCCTGCAGTAGCCACTACATCTCTGCTGCACGTGGCACGGTGCAGAGAGTGGAGGAAAGACCTCATCTCTCCCCCATTACAGTCCAGAGCTGCTGTGTTAGTGCAGGCTGTTGGGGTAGCTCAAGGCTGTGATTCACTCTGGTCACTTTGTGCTGGATCAGCTGGTGCTGGATCATGGAGCTTGCTTTTTTGCCCTTTTATGGGAGCGCATTTAGGTGTGTCTTGTTTTTAAGCTGTGTTGGATGCATTTATTTGTCTGCCACGCTTGCTGAGCGTTTACTGTTAGAACAAGATGATGGTAGGTTGTCTGCTCTGATATGTGGAGCTGCCTGCAGGCCTTTCAACACCACCCAGGTATTAAAGGACAGATGCTTTGAGTTCTTTGAAGTAAGTTTTTGATGACCTCTTAAAAAACAAAACAACAACAAACCAACCAAAACAAACAACCATATTTTCTGTGTTGGGAAAGGCTGTGTTGCATCCCAGGAACTAATAAGAGCCTTGTTTACTAGAAATGATGGTGCCTTGAGACCTGTCGTTGGAGGGAGCCGGGAGAAGGGCTTGCTGACAGCCCTTAGGGCCTCCGGAAAGTACTCTGAGACATTACAAAGCAGCAGCAGATGCCAATTGAGCTGAATACTGGATGGCACAAATTGCTTTATTGACTGTCTTGGAGAACGTCTGGAGTCAAATAAGCAAAGTGGCAGAGCTGGGGCTGTGCCACTGTGCCTTTCTGCAGTGGGTTTGGGAGACGCAAGATCACTCTTCTGGGGGGCCGTATAAAAGTGGCAGCTGCTGACCCAGTATTTTCTCAGTCGAGGGCTGGAGGGGGCCTCAGTGCCCCTAGAAATGCTGGTGAGTTGAGTCCTACCCTGCTTGGAGCATGAAGCGAGACCCGTGCTGATGTAAAGGCCTGGAATAGCTGTGTAGCTGTCAGCACTGCAGCCTTATCTGGCATTTTGGGTGGAGAGCTGTCCTTCCTGTGCCTTGGTGTGGAGCGGTGCCCGCCGGCCGGCTTCCCTGGCCAGGGCTGTGCTGAGGATCACAGCAACGGGGTGGCTGCTGAGAGGGCCCATCACTGCCCCGGGCCTGTGTGACAGTCCTGCTGCTCCTGAAGTTCCTCCTGCTCATCTGTGTGTGTTAATTCAGGCAGTGCTTCAGTGACTGCTTCTGTGGTAAACTGGGGTGGGCTCTTCAGTGCAGTCAATCCAATACAACAAGGGCTGGAATTCAATTCCATAGAATCATAGAATGGTTTGGGTTGGAAGGGACCTCAAAGATCATCGAGTTCCAACCCCCTGTCATGGGCAGGGACACCTCCCACTAGAGCAGGTTGCTCAAGGCCACATCCAGCCTGGCCTTGAACACCTCCAGGGATGGGGCATCCACAGCTTCCCTGGGCAACCTGTTCCAGTGTCTCACCACCCTCATAGTAAAAAATTTATTCCTGATATCTAATCTGAATCTTTTTTCTTCCAATTTAAAACCGTTTCCCCTTGTCCTATCATTACACTTCCTGGCAAAGAGTCCCTCCCCAGCTCTTCTATAGGCACCCTTCAGACATTGAAAGGCCGCTATAAGGTCTCCCCGGAGCCTTCTCTTCTCCAGGCTGAACAATCCCATCTCCCTCAGCCTGTCTTCATAGGAGAGGTGCTCCATCCCTCTGATCATCTTCGTGGCCTTCTTCATTTGCTGATGATGCCCTGGGTTTTCCTTTCATCCATCTCTTTAACACACCTGTTGGATCTCAATCTCAATCCATATGTGATTTCAACTTTCCACCTCTGACCTTTCAGCAGTTTCGGAGGCAGGTGGCACGTCAGGGTTGATAAATGAATCCAGCATGAAAGGGAACAACACTTGGTCACCCCCAGCAGTTGTTTCCTCAATAGCTGCTCAAGCCACCACTGTAATCATTGCGCTAATTAGCTCTCCATTTCTATAAGCACGACAGCAAAAAGTCTTGGGAGGCTTAGCTCATCCTCCCGGTCTCATCCTGGGGGTGAACTGCAGGGTAAGTGGCTGTGTTTGCACTCTGCATGTGTTCCCTTTCATGTCTGAGCCGTGGGTTCCCCCGGCTCTTCCCGGCTGGCAGGCAGTTTGAAGAGGAGATGGATCCCTTCCTCTCCCGGGATCCCATTTATCCCCGGGGCACACCTCGGTAATTGCAGGCAGGATGCTGCTGTGCTGGGACTCTGGTCAGACAGCTGTGAGTGATGCCCGACCTCCACAGGCCCAGTGACTTCTCTTAAAAGCATTTCTAGGCTAATGAGGGCCTAAAGCCCTGTCCTCTCACCATACCCAGCCGGGAGGAGCCGGGCGGGCAGTGCCAGGACTTAAGCTGGTTTTGGAGCTGGGCGAGCATGTGTCGATGGTGGGTTAAATCCAGCCTGCAAGTAGAATGTGAAAACGAAAAGACGGCTTATAAAAGCACGAGGAAAATTCTCCCTTGACACATAAGGAGATTCTAGGTCTTGTCGGCACGCTGCAAGTGGTGTCGAGTTAAAAAAATGGCACGGCTGAAGGCCAGGTGGTGGGAGAAAACTGCAGTGGAGCGGTACGATGGGGGAAGTTTTGGGAGACTTGGGGCGGAGCGGGCTCTTTCCTTGCGCCCTGTGCGCAGCTCCCGCGGTGGCGTCAATCCACAGGAGGAGCCCCGGGGCTGGGGAACGGCCTGGTCCCTGTGCGGGGCTGCGGGCGGGGTATCGCCGCGGAGGGCGGTGGGTCGGTCCGGAGGAGGGAGAACGGACAAACAGACGTTTGTGGTAGAAGTCAGCCCTGAGTGGAGCCGTTATTAAGGACGCGCCGGGCACCCGCCGCGGTGCGAGGTTCCAAAAATTGCGCCGCGCACAAGACGGGCGCCGGTGTGTTGTTCTAAGGCGTTAGCAGTGCTGCCCTCACCACGCGTTCATCGAGCAGCCGCGCAACCCCCAGATAAGGACGGTTAAACGGCCACCGCGGCGCGCCGCCGGTAGGGGAGAGCTCACCGCGGCCTGAGTGCTCTGCGCCAGCCGGGCCGTTATTTGCATAGGGGGTGGGGCAACCGCGCCGGGCGGCGCGCCCCCTGCCGGCCGCCCCGCCATTAGCCGCGTCCGCGCAGCTGCGTATGTATAGATCCATAGGTACAGGTGTGTGCGGGGTGTTCGCCGCCCGCTGCGCTGGGACAGCCCTAGTGTCACCGCCTCGGAAGCCTGGCTGTCCCTAACGCCCTCAGCGCCTCCCTAAAAACCCGCGGAAAGCTCTCCCATACAGAACTCTTATGATCTATAGGGTTTTGCCATGTATTTAGTATACAAGCTGCACAGTGTATTCAATATCTTTTTTTTTTTTTTTTTTTTTTTTTTTTTTTTTTTTTTTTTTTTTTAATGGAAAGATAATCAGAGCCATATTTCAAACCGCAGCTTTTAAACTGTGCTCACAATCTCCCTTCTCTCAGTCCAGTCCCTGTCTCACTGCTGTTTGGCTACCCAGGCTGAGTAAAGGGCAAACAGACCTTACCCTTGGGTGATCAAATGAAGGTTTTTTTTTTTTTTTTTTTTTTGGTACTGTTATTAAATGGAGTTAATTAGGGCGGGGGTTCTATCTACAACCTGTCCTGAAGCTTCTCTCAAACAAAGCGCCTTTCTCCAGGTTTCAATGATGTCATGAAAGCGTTGGGTTTCATGTCTGCAAGTGAATAATTAGGCAGCTGTTAGCACGCACCGTTTTCTAATTACAAGTGTAATAATTACAATTAATTAGAACTGTTAGTTACAGCAAATACTGAAATCGTTATGCATATGGTACGTGTATGTTGCACATGTACGTGTACAAGTTGAGCACTGAGTGGCAGTTACAGTTGTTGGCTCTGCCAAGCTCTTGGCAGGGAATTTTGGCTTGTAGATGTCACAGGGAGCAATAATTTGGTGCTTTTCTGTTTTGTAAACCACTTGGCTTGTCTGTCGGGAGCTGTGCGAGGTGGAGCTGTGTGTGTCTGTGCAGCCCTGTCACCCGAGCGAGCGGTGCCGGTGGCGTGGGTGGGTGGGAAAGGGGAGTGGATGCCAGTGCTTCCATCTTCAGGTGCCTTGGCCAAGGCCCGGGGTGAAGGACTGCCCGCTAAAACACTGTCTGCCCTGTGCTTGCAGGTGGTTCTCCTGGGGATCGACATCCTCTCAGCGCTGGTGTCCCGCTTGCAAGATCGCTTCAAGGCCCAGATTGGCACAGGTAAGGGATGGGGGGATGCATGTGTGAGGTGGGGGTTGTCGCCGTTGCTTTGGTGGGGTCCCCTCTGTCTGCTGTACATACAAAGCCTTCTTCTCAGGGAGGCTTCCTCCCTCTTCCTCAGGAGGCTTTTGGTGGTTTCAGGCTCGTCCCTTCATCAGGCAAGGGGAGAGCAGAGGAGCCGTGACAGTTTTCTTCTGAGGGATTTGGATGTTCCTATTTTCTTTCCTCAGTGCTGCCGAGTTTACTTGATAGACTGGGAGACTCTAAGGACTCGGTGAGGGAGCAGGATCAGACCTTGCTGCTAAAAATCATGGAACAAGCTGCTAACCCTCAGGTATGCTCGACAGCCCTTTGCAGTGTGTGAGAGTGACTGGCTGCCTGAAAAGGAGAACTTTCTTCTGTCAGACAGAGGGTTTTCTCCTGTGGCTCTGTCTGAAATGGTTTCATCTCCTTACGCCTTGTTATGAGATATTCTCTTCATCTGAGAATGCTGCTGTATGTCAGGATACACATGGGAGTGCAAGTGTTGGTGGATTTTCCCAAGGATGGGATGGGTGGATGTCACAGCAGTTGTTCTGGGTCCTTGGGAGGTATGTGTTTTGTGTAAGCAAAGGCATCATTTTAGGTAGTGGGGAGTCACTGTGTAGTCAGTACAGAGCAAAGAAATAGCCTAAAAATGTCTTTCTACTTCTTGTCCTGTTCTGCTTGGATGAATGTAAAGCTTATATTTAAGCTCCAGAGATGTTATGGTGTACATCTACTAGAAGAAAGAATCTATCTCTTCCCCCACCTCCTTTTTTTCCTGTTTCACCTTCTTTTCTGTCTTCCACAGTACGTGTGGGACAGGATGCTAGGAGGATTCAAACACAAGAATTTCCGGACAAGAGAAGGGATTTGCCTCTGCCTTATTGCAACACTCAATGCGTAAGTCAGAACCTCCTGCAAAGCTACGTTAGGTACACAAGCCTGCTCTGTGACTCACACCCCTGCTCTTCTGTTCTTTCTTCCCAGATCTGGAGCTCAGAGTTTAACGCTGAGTAAGATAGTGCCACATATATGTAACTTACTTGGAGATCCAAACAGCCAGGTGAGCTTTTTGCTGTGAAGTCATGTCTGAAGGTTGTGCTGATTGCCTTGTTGGTAAGCGGGGCTCTGTGTTCCATCTGGTAAATTAGCTAATTGTGCTGCTGGTGGTGAACTCTGAACAATGCTGTTCATTAAGAGCCCTTGGCTGGTTTTGAAGAGGTGTGATTTGAATGCCTAAACCAGCATATCAATTACCACAAGAGCTCCAATAGAACAACGTGAATCTGCAGGTGAGATGAACAGAGCAGGAGGCTTTTGTGGGAAGGGAACTCCTGTGCCTTACAGCCCGAACGCAGGGGAGGCTGCAGGGTCCCTCTGGGCTCGGTGCAGCACCCGTCACCTTTAGGGAAGAACCAGTCTGGGCAGGGAGGGCAGATGGGACCAGTTGGACAGCCTGGCCATGTGCGCTGCCAGAACTTGTATGGGGAGATTCTGAATCCTTATTCAGAACCTCCCTGTACAACTGGGGGGGGGGGGTGAAGGCAAGCTGTATAGGAAACTTTAAATCAGCGATGCAAGCCAAATGAAAATTCGTGCTGAAAAAAATCTGTCACTTCTTCGTGCTTTTTGTCCTGCCCTGGGTAGGACCTAACCTGAAATTAGATGCGATTACGTGAGGTTGGAGAGAAAAGGGGGTTGGGGAAGCAGCATTCAAACTTCTGTCACAAACATGTGTACTAGCAGTTTTTTAATATCCCTGTTGCCCTCCCAGCGTGGGTGACACGTCTGTGATCCAGGTCTGGAGTGGGTGTTTCACTGGAAGGAAGTGTGGGGTGGCCAACTGGGGAATGGGTTTACGTTGGCTCTGGGGAGTTGGGCACGTTCCCGTGGCTGTCTGGAGGATGGAGTGTGGATCAGCCTTCCCTCGCTGCTTGTGCCAACACAGGGGGATAAACAGGTTACGTTACACCCAGAAGTTTCTAAGGAAGTTTAATGTTCAGGGTCTTTTGTAGTTCTGAGCTGTGACTGAGCAAGATGTTACTCTTCAAGGGAATGCTAAGTTTAGGGCTTGGACTTGTTCACAGGCACCTACTTTGGTCCTGCCACTGGCGGGCTGTTGAAAGAATCAGAAAGTTGATGAGGACACTGAGATGTGTTTTCCCTCATCTTCCATGTGCCTGGCACAGCTCGTTATCCCAGTACCCAGCTGCAGGGGAGAATGAGACTGATCTCTTGCGCCTTCTCCTGGGTCTGGTTCCTCATCCCCGGAAAGCCCATGCCTGAACTGATCAGACACAAATCAAAGCGGCTCCTGAGTGAACCAAAGCTCCCCTAGGGCTGCTGCTGCCCCGCGAGTGTCTTCTCCTGACTCTGGGAGCCCTGATGCTCGGTCAATGCTGCCCTCTCTTGGTGAGAGATGATGGAGACACAGATCCAGGGGGAGTGCAGTGTGTTTCCCTTTTGTTGTGAGTATGGAAGCTCTTCTGTTACTGCCCTCTTCAGAAAGAGTGTTTTTGTTGTTTTCAACTAATATAATTGTATAATCCAGTGAGCATCTGGTATGAAAAAAATACTTAAACTATGACTGTTTTCGCAAAAAGCAAATTGAATGTTAAAATTTTGTTGTTGCTGTGGTAGACTAAACCAAGTATGATAGTAGGGGCTCCCTGCCTTACCCAATATAGGGTTTACCCTGCTCCTCTGATTAACTTTACACACAGAGGCAGTCACAGAATCACAGAATCTTCTAGGTTGGAAGGGACCTTAAAGATCATCTTGTCCAACCGTCAACCTAATTGACAAAAATAGACACCCACACAACAAACAAGGAGCATCATCACTAAACCATATCTCCCAGCACTACATCAACCCGTCTTTTGAACACCTCCAGGGATGGTGCCTCAACCACCTCCCTGGGCAGCCCATTCCAATGTCTGACATTCCAGTCCTTCTAGATCACTCAGTGAGGACCTCCATGGTCATCTGAAGTGCATATTGTGGCTGGAGGGTTATGGCAGAGCTTGTTGCCATGTCCTGTCCCACTGCAGGCAGAGCCACCTCTCCTCCCTGGCTGTCAGAGGCAGAGAGTGAGGCTGGGTTAGCGTCTGCTTACCCACAAGTTAGTGACACCAGAGCCCCCTGGAGCTGTGCCCAGAAATCCTGGGTGGTGGCATACGGGGCTGATGAGTAGGGAGAAGAGAGGCAAGAACCTGAGTAAGGGCTGGCATGAGTGAAGGCATCAGTTCAGAAAGTGGTGGTGACCTCCTGGATGGGAAGGCTGTGGAGCAGGAGAATGGGGAAAGATGAGTGTGAGTCAAGCGTTAGTCTTTTTTTTTTGACTTGGAAGCTGGGCACATGTGCCTGCCTTTTGACTCCCACCTGTAGGTGATTCTAGCTCATGCCCACAAAATATCCTGTGTCTAGTCCTGACTGTGGAGATGCTTGGGTAGCTGGTCATCTTCTGCGAAGCAGTAGCGCATGGGTCCATAGGTATTTCTGGAGGCAGAGCAGATGGCTTACCTTCGGTGGCTGATGGAGGAAGGGGGTTCAGTGCAGAAAGGTGACACTATAATCACATTTGTGGCTCTTCTGTTGGGTGAAGAAAAAGGATGTGCTCAGCAATTTCTTGCAAATCAGTCTGGAAACCATGCAAAATTCATGATGAGTCGGGTGATTGATTACTCCTCTCTGCCCCTGTATTTTGTTATCAACACAGAAACGTAAGTTTGTAAGATGGTATTAAAAAAACATTTGTTTTATAATGTACTAGGAATATAGGGTCTGTTCATGTCTCTCCTTGCTCTTTTTTATTCAGTAAATGTACCTGTTGCACACAATGGGTGGAGTTGGGCAAAGGCAGCTGAGCTCCCTGTGTATGAAACCCTTTGTCTTATGTCTTGATTGCCTTTTCAATTAAATGGAGTTGGGCCAAGGTAGCTGAGCTCCCTGTGTATGAAACCCTTCGTCTTATGTCTTGATTGCCTTTTCAATTAAATGACACCTTCGGATACTGTTAATATCTGAAAGGCAGGGATGGAAGCTCCTTCATGAACTCTGCGGTAACGTGTATAGTGGCAGCTGGTGTTGCTGAGAAACATGCAAATTTCTTTCTCCAACGTAGGGCAGTGATTTATTTATTTAAATTATAAAGATGATTGATTTCTCTCGTATCTCTCATTCAGGTTCGAGATGCAGCAATAAACAGCCTCGTGGAAATTTATAGACATGTTGGTGAACGTGTAAGGGCTGATCTCAGTAAAAAAGGATTACCCCAATCTCGGTAAGTTAAAAATGTCCTTATGCCTTCACTATTTTTGGGCAACATTTTATTCTCGTACCTGCCTTCCTTTAGAAGGGATCAGGAGCTGCATGACTGAACCTTTTTCTGGGATCAGGGGGTTTTGTGGTTTGCCTTTTTTTTTTCTTTTTTTCTTTTAATTCTACAAACACTCAGGTTGCACTTAATGTGGTTCCTGTACCTTTGCACAAGTATGCCACAGTGTCTTTGGTAAACCAATAAAGTTATTACAGATGTGTAGTTAGCAGATAATGGGATGTGATAAAGATCTTCTGCTCCATCGGACCTGTGACATGAACGGGAAAGAAGTGTTAAGGCTAAAAACAAATGTGTGAAGCTGTTGTTTATGTGGCATCTCTGCAAATAGTTAGAACAGGCAAAGTAGTAATGAACTGGAAATACAGTTAGACATGTCATCTTCAGTAATGTGTTTCCGATTGTATCTCTTATCTCTCTGTAATATATATCAGTTGCTTTTCAGTTTTTCTTATCAGCCTTTGTATATTTTGATTCTTTTTTTCTTAAATTTTAAAATAATTTCTCTCCACACTGACACTTTTGACAGTGCTCTCAATGACCTGAGTGAAGCAAAGTTTATCCTATAACATCTTAAATTAGAAGAATCCTAAAAAATAAATTCACTTATTCATGGTGTATTTTTTTAACTTTCAAACAGGTTGAATGTAATTTTTACAAAATTCGACGAGGTCCAAAAATCTGGAAACATGATCCAGACTTCAGGTGGTGAGTAGAAGTACTTGTATTCTCTTTTGAGCATTTTTAGCAGTTTTCAGTTGGTGGGGCATTCAAACAGACACAGAGCAAGCACTCATTCTGTTGGGGAAGAGAAGTATTGGTTGATTGTTCAGAAATACACATGTAGGTTTTGCAGAATAAATTGGTGTTCAGTTGGTCTGCTCTGTCTTCCTGGTAGTATCAGAAGGAGAAAGAAGCTTAAGTTTCAAGAACAGAAAGTGGTGTTAGAGCTTGTCCTTCTTTTCCTCTTGAGTGTCATTAGGGAAACACATCTTCTGTTTTCAAGTCCATGTGCATCTTTGTTTAAATTGTTCATAAGGTAAATTAAATAGTAATTGAAGAGAAGAAGCCTTTTCAGTTTAATGCCCTAAATAGCACAGAAAGTGTACATATTAGTGTAACTGTGTTCCATTTTTTATTGTTTATGGATTGTATTTTGCAGCTCCTAAGTTTGTGTACTTTGTATATTTATAACTGATAGTCAAAGCACTTATCAGAGCCTTAATTCTGTTTTTCCTTGTCTGAGAAGAGTATTTTGCTTGCTTTAAAAACAAATTATTACTGCTTTTCTTATAGATAAGCTTATGAGCCGGGAATTATTTTTAATAAATATCATTCATTTTTAGGCATAGATTCTTGAGAGTATTATTGGTGAGGGGATTAGTCTTTCTGCCAATAGCCAAGCAGAGCAGAGATGAAGAACTTGGGTTCAGTGCTGTGGGTTCCTATCAAGCTCACACCCTCTGCAAGGCCGAGAGGGGAGAGGTGATGTCCTCAGTATTTCCCACCATGCTCTTAGAAGCAAAGGTAGCAGAGAGATATCTGCTCTTTTAAATTGGAAAAAATATCTTTTTCACTTCTAGGTGCTATTCTTCTTGCTGTACCCATTTTAAAATACAGTAAACTTAATACCTGCAAGAAAAAATAAAATGGACTTATTTGAAAGTTCTGATGTTATATTTTGGATATGTGATCTGAAACGTGATGTGATTCTCTTGTACATCTGGGAATGCTGAAGACCTAGTGTGGGTTCCTTTGGCGGAATGGGTTTAAACTGTGTTTTTGCACAATGTGGGAAAATATCAACTGCATAAGTAACTGAGGCTTACAGTGGCAAAAAAAGTGCAGTTGAGAAACAAATATCTATGTACTTTTTTAAAAAGAGGAAAGTAAGTATCTAATCCCTTAGCAAACATCTTAAGGTTTACAACCTCCAGGTGTTGCAACGGCCTAGTTCAAACTGAAACAGGCTTACTGCAGACCCAACTCTTCTGCTTTTCACTTGGCTAGGCTAGCTTTTGTTTGTTTGTTTTGCCAGTAGTGCCATAATATGGATTTTCAAAAAAGTTACTTTGATGCATTGTTGTACTATGCAGATTGCTGTTGTCTGGGGGTCAAGGAGACAATCTTGTGCTCTGTGGTGAGATGTGTTGCTACATGGAGATGTTAAACAAAAGCTGTGGTGGGGTGGGATGATGGCTGTGGGTGGGATTTCTATTGGCTTTCTTCTTTAGTGGGAGAAGGAAAGATTTTGGAGCTTAATGTGCCCCTAGCTAAATTTAAGCTAAATTTATCGAGAGTTTTTTCTAATCTAAATGAAGGTGATCTTAGTTGTGACACATCCGATTTTCTGATTAGAAGAGTAGAAGAGTATATCATACTAAATAGTACGATACAGATGAGATGTGTAAGAATAAACATCAATTAAGAGCAAGAAACTAGTTATCTTAAATGTGCAACGTGAGTTTAGCTCTACAGTCATTTTTGCATGTACATGTCCCAGAACTGTACCAGAGACATCGCTTGTGAATCGTTGGCTTTTGAGAGGCAGTTCTGATCTCTAGACTGAGCATCCCAGTGCGTGCTGTGGTGTGATTCCAGGCTGCTGGCACGACTGAAGATATCAAAAGGAGCAAGATGGGACAATAGGGATGACCTCTTCAGGGCTGACAATTCGTAGAGTGCTATCTCTTTCTAAGAAAGCAAATCATCTATTCTAAAATTCCTAAGAATGGATTCCTTAGGAACACTTTTTCCTGTAAGTGCAAGTAAAGCATCTGTGTGTCTTAGGTCTGCTAGTTTTAGGCTTCACTGAGAATTATTTTTTTCTTTTAATACCCTTTCCTCTGTCACCGTTTTGATGAATTTGAAGATTTAACGTGCAGGTACAGTGCCTGAGACCTTACACACCCTATCTCCTGTCCTTGACTCCACTGACAGGCTTTTTGTGCCTCCAGACCCGAGTGCTCCTGTCTTCTCCACTCTGCTTAACCTGATCCGGGATGTCTCGCTGTCCTTGTGCTGTGACTGGATGCAACCCCCAGAGTCCCTGAGTTAGCTTTTCTCCTCTGTTGAAGCTCCTGTGTGGGTGTTGGGACTGAAAAGGAACCTGGAGGAGAGGGAGCTGGAGAGAATGGAGGAGTGTTACAGGGTCAGAGACCAAGCCGTGGAAAAGATAGGGATCTCCCACTGCTGTGCCAGGACCTTTTCATCTTCACTAACAATAAAAAAGTCTGTAGTTGCATGAGTTCATTTTAAAATATTTCTCGTTTATGAAGTTAAGAATAATAACACTAGGTATTAATATATTTTTTTGTGAGTTTGAGGGAGGGTTCAGTTTCTCATAGTGCTGTAGGCTGGTTTGTTGCTCCTGCCTTACCCTCCAAAAAAAATTTCTCATCTATGAAGTTAATAATAATAACACTAAGTATTAATATTTTTTTTTTTTGTGAGTTTGAGGGAGGGTTCAGTTTCTCATAGTGCTGTAGGCTGGTTTGTTGCTCCTGCCTTACCCTCCAAGCCCAGCACGAATACAGTGTACATGCTCATGGTCACCATATCGAGTATGTCAGCAGCTCTGTGCAACTTCAGTTTATCTTTTTGAGGTTGTACAAGCCAGTGGCGGAGGCTTATCTTCACCCACGGTCACAAGTTTATTATGGCCTGAAGACAAGCTGAGTTTGTCAGGTTTTTTGTGTCCCTGACACCTCCTGCAGCTTTTGAACAAAGGTGACACTTTCAGCAGCTGTCAACATCACCAGGAAAGATGATGATAAAAATATTGCACATCCGAAAGATTTGCCTTTCTCAGGAAGTAGCTGTCTCAGACTTGTTATTCTTTCCAGTCTGGCAGAGTATGGTATTGATTATGGGGGTTGACTGTCTGTTACCATTAATACCAGCCCATTTAGATTGTAACACAGCCAGGCATTGCCTGTAATGGTGGCCAACACGATACCAACGCTTTAACCTTCACGTTCTGTGGCCTGGATCAGATGACTTCAGGCAATACGGTGGAGCTGTGCTGTCTTAAAAGCTCGTGTTAGTCCCTCTCTGTAGCTAGTGTGTGCTATTTCTAGCCCTACACAGGCTGCATGAATGTCCCGGAGGTTTTGGGAGGGCAGGCTGGCGAATGTTCACGCAGATTGCAGTCTGTAAGCCCTTGTCAGTGTAAAATGGCACTGCGGGAGGAGCAGTGTCACCTCCCTCCCAATGGTTTTTCTGCCCTGAGCTGCTCCCCATGTTGGGTTCATACTGGCTGCTGAAAAGTAACGCTCTTTCCCCCTTGGGGAAGGGCTTTCTGTTGTTTAGGGTTAACACATGCCTCTGAAATGGAAGGAATAACTGAAGAGATGTCATGACTTCCCCAGCTCACTAGCAAACGTAAAATCTCACTAGTTTTTATTTTTAATGTGGTCTTCTGAGTGAACGTGGTGAATCCATACTTGTGTGGTGGGTAGCTCAGGTGGGTAACCAAGAACAAGTTAGTGTGTCACTCGTAACTGAGCCCTGGAGTTGTGCTAATTACAAGAAGACTTGAAAGTGCTTGTCAAACCTGACTTATTGCATAATGCAGTATTACTGGGAGGTGGGAAAGCAACTGTGGCTTCTGAAGTGGTGAAATATGGCAAAAGAACTGGTCAAAGAAGAACAATGACTAAACTGATCTTTTACCCTGAGCAGTAGTTTCAGAGCTAAGTTCCCTCTACCAGCTCACTGGTAAAGTTTTCTTCAAGTAAAAGAAAGCAATTGCAGCAGCATTATTTGTGTATCAGGAGTAATTCGGAAATCAGTGAATATGCTGTAAGTTGTTAAAGATTTCTTAACTAATGGCTCCCAAGACATGAGTGAACAGAAATCTCAGTCTACTAGAAAAAGTGCTTAAAATAATAGGGCATTTTCTGATCCCATGAATAAATCTAATGAATCAGCTCTAATCAGAATGTGAATTTTAAGTCTATGAGAATAATTAATATGTTTTATATTTACTTATCCTTCTCTACTGTTCTCCATTAGTGCTTCTTTGTGTTAATCTTGAATTGCATATTTTTTAATGGCTAGGCTTTGTTTTTATCATGTAGCAATACAAGAATCAAATGTGTAGTGGGGTGGGGGAGGTTTGCATAGTAATATGAGGTGTTTCATTAAGTCAGAGGGAGGTTTGGCATGCTGAAGTATGCTGCTTGTTGCTAGGCAGCAGCCCTCATAGCTAGAATGTGAAGTTAAAATCCACGTTGGATTTCTCGATGATTCTCAGTGCATCTCTGTTTTGTTATTTGGCATATAATTAGTCAGCCTCTTGAAGCAAAAATTATAGTTTTTCCCCCTTTGGGCTTTCAGCAAGCTAATTATTTTTTGTGTAACTGCTTTTGCTAATTATGCAGATGCCTTATTCCCCTGGGACAAATACATTTTCAGCATGAAAGAGCCAATAATTGCCAGCTAGTCAGCTGCTGTCTTCGTGTAGCATTATGCGATGATCTTTAGTTGGATGTGATGCAGAGAGAGGCATATATAAACAGACACTCCAAGAAATTTATGCTGCACGGGTTTCCTTGGTGTTATGTCTGGAAGGACTTGAACACGAAGCGTATACAGTTTTTCCATGGATTTTAGTTGACTTTGGATTGGACCTGGGCTCTGGAAGACTTTATAGTCAAGGCTCAGGACATATTAGAATGAAATAAATGATCTGCTGAGAGATACAG